TAGATACTTTCTGGCGGCATGTTGTATTTCTCTAGCGGTTTCGTCGAGGCTTGCGAGGTATTCTACTTGAGTCAACTTGTCGGACAGTAGGTTGGTGTTAAAGGCTATGACGTTTATTCGTTTTGTGGCCTTTTTAATTTTCTCATAGTTCAATTCATGTTCTTTTTTTATGGCATTTATTTCAGTTTGGATGATGTGAGTTGAATTTCCGATTAGGTGGGTAATTTGTTGTTGGTCTTGATAGAGTCGATCAATTTCTTTGGTGATGTGTTCTTGATCATTGTAGTCCATGGTGCCGAAGAGGGATCTCGATATGGTGCCTACGAATCCTAGCAGAGGGGATCTGCTATAACGTCTTTTGGGGTTCTGTTTTGGACTTTTCCAGATTCTTTCCAAATGTTTCTGTATTGTTTGGAGTGTTGTCTTGTACTCTTCCATGATGGTTATGCCTAGTACTCTATCGCAGGTTTGCTTTCCTTGGTGTTTATAGCATTCAGTTTGGTGTTTTTCTATGGTTTGTATCCCGGGTAGCGGTTGTCCTAGGAGGTTGTGCATGTCCACTGTGAGCATCAGTCGCCATTTCCTGTTGATTGTTCTTATTTGGTCGATTTTCTCATAGTAGAGTCCGGGGTTGTGGTCTATAGATTCATGTTGGTAGATTTGGTCGAGTGTTAAATCTGTTTCGGCCTGAATTACCCAAACGGTGGTCCATATGATGAGGATAGCTCTCATGGTATTGTGTTCTGTAAGTTGGAGAATTTCTTTTGAAATATTTTGTTTTTTCAGCTTAGATCTAGTAGGGTTCGATGGGTATTATTTCTGATCCTATTTTTGCTAGTTCATCCGCTTTTTCGTTCCCGTATATTCCCTGGTGTCCTGGGGTATATTCGAATTGAACGTCGATTTTCTGGGTGAGTTCGGCGAGCCGTTTCAGGAGTGTTTGATTGACAACGGGCTCGGACTTGGCATTTAGCCAGCCATTTGTTTTCCATTTCTTTATGTGCTCAGTCATGCAGCTGATGAGGTATTTGGAATCGGTGATTATTCGTATTCTCGAAATGTCATGGCGAAT